AACCTTCCACTCAGATCAGTATCTGCTGTCCTATGTCTGACCACAGTCAATCTTCACATGATTTTTTTGGAGTGATAAATTCTCTGTGCTACCAATGCAACTTGTCATGTCTTTCAATACCAAGACCAGTTGTCATTCTCCAAGCCTTCACCACTGGGGTCAGCCTTGAGTAGATTGATTTAAAGGTACCAAAAGTGAGTTAAATATGTGGTTGGTCCTGTCTGTTTTTCAATGTCTATCCAGGATTCATGTGAAGCACACCCTTTGATTAGATAGGATAGTGACTTCTCATATGAAAAGACATCACAGATTGCAAGTATAAAAAGCAGCCATGGACCTGACATCAAAAGCAACTATTCATAAGTGGCAGAATGTCAACTCATCCCAATCCTTCAATCATATCCCCAATGACCTATATATATATAGCTAACCACACTACATACTATATGTCAGAAAAGTGGACACAATTAACTTTTGTAATGAAAAAAGAGGACACTACAAACCATTGTAGTCTCAAAAAGTGGACACTATTAACTTTTATAATGAACAAAGCGGACTCTACAAACCATTGTAGTCTGAAAAAGCAGACACTACTAACTTTTGTAGTCTCAAAAAGCGGACACTACAAACCATTGTAGTCTCAAAAAGTGGACACTATTAACTTTTATAATGAAAAAAGCGGACACTACAAACCATTGTAGTCTGAAAAAGCAGACACTACTAACTTTTGTAGTCTCAAAAAGCGGACACTACAAACCATTGTAGTCAGAAAAAACAGACACTACTAACTTTTGTAGTCTCAAAAAGCGGACACTATTACTTTTGTAATGAGAAAAGCAGACACTACTAATTTTTGTAGTCTTTGTCTGACCTTTGTGGTCTATGTCCAACTTTTGTAGTCTTTTTTGTAGTCTATTAGTAAACTTTGTAGGCTATAAATTACTTTTGTAGTCTGTCAGTGTCAATTACCCTTTTAGGGCATGTACCTTCCTTTTTGGGAGAAATTTCCCACGATACAATAGTTGTAGCCCCTTCTCTTAGCTTTCTAAATCTGTTGAAATCATGTTGTTTAGTGTTCTTTTCATGAAGAAAAATGCAAAAAACAAAAAAAAAACGCAGCGCTTTTGAAAACCTTTTACCTTATATCTCCACAATGGAAGCACTTTAGGACATAATTCCAACTGATTCTGGAAGCTATGGTAAAGAGCTACAACTTTTGTTTTTTTACCATTTTTGGAAATTTGTCATGTGACCACCCTCCCAATGACCCATTGGATGGACCGTAATAGCTATTTCATTGCTATCCTGGAATATAATGAAAAATCATAATGATATCCCTGGGGGCAGATATGAAATTGGAATGAAATATTGAGATACTCAATGAAAAATCCCAATGAAAGCTGTGGAATATTCAATGAAAGTGCACATCATTAATTATGAAAGAAGCAATGAATACATATAACCTAGCTAATGAAATATTTATTGAAATGCACAATGAAAGCACCCAGAATTGATAATGAAATATTCAATGAAAGCACACAGCATTAATTATGAAAGAGGCAATGAATACACCTGACCTAGGGAATGAGATATTTATTGAAATTGCACAACATTAATTATAAAAAGTACAATGAAAGCATCCAATATTCCTAATGAAATATTCAATGAAAGCGCACACAATTAAATATGAAAGAGGCAATGAATACACCTGACCTAGGGAATGAGATATTTATTGAAATTGCACAGCATTAATTATGAAAAGTACAATGAAAGCATCCAATATTCCTAATGAAATATTCAATGAAAGCGCACACCATTAAATATGAAAGAGGCAATGAATACACCTGACCTAGGGAATGAGATATTTATTGAAATTGCACAACATTAATTATAAAAAGTACAATGAAAGCATCCAATATTCCTAATGAAATATTCAATGAAAGCGCACACAATTAAATATGAAAGAGGCAATGAATACACCTGACCTAGGGAATGAGATATTTATTGAAATTGCACAACATTAATTATGAAAAGTACAATGAAAGCATCCAATATTCCTAATGAAATATTCAATGAAAGCGCACACCATTAGATATGATAGAGGCATTGAATACACCTAACATAGTGAATGAAATATTTATTGAAATCACACAGGATTAATTATGAAAAAAGCAATGAAAGCACCCAAAATTGCTAATAAAATATTCAATGAAAGTGCACACCATTAATTATGAAAAAGGCAATGAATACACCTAACCCAGTGAATGAAATACCTATTGAAAGCGCACAGGTTTAATTATGAAAAGCACTCTGTGGCCTTGCCTATATCTTATGAAAAGAACATAGGTTTTATGAGAAAGAAAACACAGGACACATCTATGAAATGCCTTTCATAAAACTTGTGGACTTATACACACAGCTCTACAGGCAATTGCCTTAGTTTTATCATAAAAGTGGTAGCCACCAGTCGGTCGCGAGCAACCGCTTCTTCGTAGCTCTGATTATCGGGATCGCTTGGAGGGCCTGATGCGGATGTGATGAATCCCCCTGTATCATCTACCAGGGTGATATCAGTAAATGCATCAATGACGTGATTCGAACATATGTTGGTAACGTGTGGGAAGCATCTTATATGATTTTCCTTGTGATTAAATTCAACATCGCGAGGGCGTAGAAGTAACTCGAGTTCTCTGAGGAAAGCATTGTTGAGCGAGCAGTTATCAAGAGTCCAATGGCCTCCCTGTGCACGTAAGCATAAAGTAGAAAAGGGAAAGAAAATGAAACTTAGACGTGCCTTGACTGTGATCCCAACTCGGTCCAAGAGATGGAGGACAATCCTTGCTAGCCTCTTCCCGTTATGGCTTCCTCGAAGATGGTGAAATGCGATGAGTGTAGAACGCAGCTGAAGACCCTTGGTAGACTTGTCTCTATGTATCCAATGTGCGGTAATGGCCAGGTATGGGTACCGAGCTTTTTTTGACCAAATATCCACCGTGTAGGAAATTCGTCCTGGCGCATCCTAGAGCGAACAGTGAATACAAGGAAACAAAGCGGTCAATTGAAACAACATACTGCTAATTCCTGTTTTAGGACCTTGAAATACGCATGCCATGCCTTGATAATGGATTCACGCATCTTCGTTCAGCGGGGAATGTCTTTGTCCTCGAGGTCCTCACGTAAAAGCAAGAGGAGCTGTCGAAATTCTGGGCATTCAACAACATTTATAGACTACAAAGAAGGTTAGACTAATACCAAACATTAAAAGTGCTTGACCAACCTGATCGTCTGCAACGATGAAATTCAGAAGATGCTGTATCAATGCCTCCTGGGAAAATGGCGGACGGTGTGTTCCATGTTCAGGGGGCGCAGAGGCTGTTCCAGTTTCGCTCGCGAGTGCAGGGACTTTCCATCTCATTTCAAGACACTTCTGGAGATATGGATCCTTGTGGCGGCTTAGGAGGTGGTTGCGCAATGGACCATTTGAGGTGCTTGCTGAGAAGCTGCCTGCACCCTGGCGCAAGTCTATCCCATTCGCCCTACATAACAATCCTTGTCAGTACAATGTATAAAATTATGGAGAACCACGTACCTGCATAGCTTACATAGAGTTCTGCTTACTGGAGGCGCCTTGGATCCGCGTTCAAAGAAACAATCAATATCTGGGGCTGTTCGGCTCCGTGAGGGTTCTGAGGCTCGCTCAGAAGGCGTGACAGGTCTGGTGGAGGCAGCAGAGCCAGCTACAGGCTCGACACTCGCGGGAGAGATCGGTCGTTGTACATCTTCATCGGCAGAATGTTCGTCCAAAGGAGTGAAGTCGAATTCTTCTCCAGAACCGGGATCTTCACGAAAGTTGACTGGCGCTGCTCTACGGCCAGCTGTACGAGGAGGTGCTGGCTGCTGTGTCGTTTTTCTGCCTCTACCTCGGGCCATTACGAAGCTGGGTGATTTACAGAGATAGAGATATTGTTTGGTATTTTATACAGAACCATAGCACCTCACATGCCGTTAGCGCGTGTTTCTATCGTAATTAATGTAACAGTTGATTCAATCGAATGTCTCATCTACTAAGACGTTACAGATAACTAACTTGAGGCTTTACAGCCTAAAATGTCGAACGTGATTGGAATAAGACAAGTACACCCCTCTCAATCGGGGAGCTGTTGAGGAGTGGCTTCATCCAGCTCAGCAGGGTTCTTGTCGTTATCGATGAAATCCTTTACATGAATGTTAGTACCATGGAAATAATTTGAGGCATGATCGACATACTGAATCTATCATCCTCCGATCCTCCACCCACATTGTCGTCGCATTGTCCACACTAGCCTCAATTGAGAAACTTGCAAAGGGCACAAGGAATCTGCCGAGAAAGCGAAATGAACATGAAATTAATAGCGATGGAGTAAGGCTGACCTTTATCCATCATGAAGAACACAAGAGAAGGCTTCTTTGGCGTGATCGATAGACCCATAGCGATCATAGAGTATTCCAATATACCAAGGCTTTGGGTCAACGGATGAATGCGCGTTATCCACCAGGCATCGTGCATGCATCCAGGCACATTATCAATCGCATATCAGGGCATGTCACCCATCACGTGTCCAGGCGCATTATCCATCATGCATCCAGACACATTAACAATTGTGCGTTCAGGCACATCGTATATCTGACCGTGTTTCTCTATCCATTGCGTATCCACTCACACTAACCCAGACGTTTTATCATGGCTTGTACTTCTTTTCATGGCTCATTCAACTATTCTAACACTATTTACTGGACTTAGTTACAGGGTATCTACTGTCATGTAACTACTATAATGTATCTACTACAGCTAAGGCGGAAGGAGGGATGGGGAAAGGAAAAGAAATGCGAAGGACGTTCCAGCGCTATATATCCAAGGCACTTTAGGGCCGCTTTTGATTTAGGGCAGGCATAGAACATTTAGGGCAGGCGTAGAAGAATGTTTCTACACCTGCCCTAAATGTTCTATGCCTGCCCTCAACGTTCTATGCCTGCCCTAAATCAAAAGCGGCCTTAAAGTGCCTTGGATATATAGCACTGGAACGTCTTTCTTGTCTTCTTTCTTTCTTTCTGCGCTCCCCCACCCCTCCTCCTCTGCCGTTTATGTGCCGTAGTTACGCCTTCTCTGTAGTTACCCCCCTCCGTAGTTACGCGTCCCTCTATTTTACATGTCCCCTCTACTTTACACGTCCCTCTATTTAGTATTTACTTACATGTAGAATATTTACTTTACGAATAAATACAAAGTCGAATGCAGCACGCCAGGAACGACGATGAATCCATCGTCGTTCACCACCACTGTCACCAACGACCCATAGCACACACTAGTAATGGTGGCGACCGACGTCACCGGCCCACCAACGCCGTTTCGACAGCGTATGTTGTGAAGTACTCCGAGGTTACCCGTGATGATGCTGACGTGATACATGTGGACTGGCCCTAAAGTCAATCACGCTAAACAGCCTGCAAACCATCGTCTGGCTTCTTTTCTCCTTCCGTGCACCATCCTTGTAGATTGTATAGACTCTAACAGATAGAAACATTTGTGCATAGCTAGTAAATAGGTCTGAAATCATGGCATCAAAACACAATGAGAGACCAATGAAACATAGAAAACTTGAGGCAAGTTCTTTTCATTTTTGTCAGATTTCGTACCAAGCTAATCACGCTATAGTCGCCAGAAGTCCTTCGATTCTTAGATCTCCAAGCTGAAGTATCAGAGGCTGAGACCGACGATCAGAATGACGGTGACGAAGGTGTGTATTATAGATTGTATTTGTAGTTTACACTGCTAATTCTTCCAAAGACGATCTTATCGACGACGATGAAGACATTGACGAGTCGTTTTCGGGAGATGCGCACCAAAACCTTCTCCGCGAAGCGTTGATGCCGTCTGATGACGACGCTTTTTGGGAAAGCTTTCTCGAGCGCATCACATCTCATCAACATATTGCGGAAGAAAACGCCCAAGATATTGGAAAGGCGTCATTATGGGCAGTGCTTGTCAAGGTAAAAGTAATCCAATCCTCGGGGATTATTTTTGTAATAACTTTTCTACTTAGCCTGGTTTTGAGGAGTAGATAGTCTTTCGGATCCATCGGCGCCTCATGGACCAGAGGTTTCCTGCACACTTACGACCCCCATCGGTCTTTGGCTGGAAAGCACTACCCGGCAGAGTGTTTTTCGAATGTGGTTCAGAGGAAATGATTCGCAAAATCTGTCAAGGCTTATCAAACGTGACCGTCTCCAAGACTTTCGATATCCCAGATCCCAACCCCTCCATATTTACTCTTCCCAACACCTTCCGACCAAAGCCCCATTCATGGGTGAGGTTGAACCGCGGGATCTATAAAGGAGATCTCGCCTTCATTCGGGGTGTCCATTCCTTGTTGCTCATCAATGTCCTCGTTGTACCACATGTTATCTACGACCCACCATCCACCAAAGCCAAAGGAAGCCGGCTTATCGCAATTGAGGACCGAAATGATGAGGTGGATGATGACTTCCCAATTCAATCCAACACTGGCCAAGCAACGGTTTCAACGGGCATTCCAGACGCGAAACAACTTATCATTATTCCGAGGAGTTCTTTATGATGCCGATGGATAAGCGTACTTCCCGGACCTCGACACTGATTGGTATACTGCAGAAGATGTGGTACCATCACTGAAAGAATTTGAACGGTTTAGCGCTTGTTCGGACATCCCTCTCAACGTCCGACAGCACACAATGGCGAGAATGTCGGCCAGGATTCTTCAGATAGGCGATGGAGTGAAAATTACTGATGGAGATTCGAGGGCGGGTTTTGGAACGATTGTTGACATTAAAGACAATGAGGCTGTTGTGTTTTTGACAACGCATGATGTGACAATTACCGTACCATTTTCGTTGCTTCGAAAACATCTTAAAGTAGGGGACGAAGTGCACATTCTTTCGGGAGACCACCAAGGTGTTATGGGCTGGGTAGTAAATCAAGACGATGACTATGTGTGTGTCTTCAATGACAGGACCGGAACAGAGGTAAATGTTTCGTTTTTACAATACATACTCTGACAATCCATCATCTTTTAGGTAGAGGTATCCCCCGGGAATGTTGAGTTCTTCAGCTCCCCCTTTGTCTTCGCAACGGAATCCCCGGAGTCCTTGACAGCTGCACAAAAGCAAGTCATGAAGGGGGACTCGAACAGTCATCTTGTAGGAAAACACGTAATGGTAACCCAAGGCAATTTTAGAACTTACCGAGGCAGAATAAAAAGCACAGTTGGTGAGAAAAGGCTTTTGGTCGAACTCGAGGCGCTCCTCCAACGCCCACAAATTTTGGACATCTCTGCACTACACATCATGCAAGCCCTTTTGCTTTTTTTTCTTTCTGAAATCGATGCTAATTAGCTTCCAGTGCTGACGAAAGGCTTCAGCCCCCAAGGCCTCGAGAGCTTCTGACCGATTTCTCTTACCCACTTGAACCAGCGCCTCCGCCCGGTACTTTGGCAAGCTTTTTGTTCCCTGGTCTGCCCTTGCTGGATCCGCAACCCTCAGCCGCATATCCTGCTGCCCTCGTGCAGACTCCGACCATTGCAGGGCCGTCTACTCCGCTTCCTAACTCTCAAGATATCCCGACGAGCCCAGCTTGGAACCCAAGCTCAGATACCCCTCTCCGTGGCAATTATGGTGATTATATTTTTGATTTCAGAGTCAAAATATATACTGACGCAATTATGGCTAGCCCCTCCATATTGGCTTAGAGATAACCGCTTTGCCACCATGAGACTGAGCCTTCGTCTCATCAACACCCACTCTAATTTCCATGATGGCAAGTACGAAAATATGTGCGGGGAGTTCAAGGGAGTGGTCGGAGATGTGGTTAAGGTCCAACTCGGTTTCACAGTGGTGGAAGTGCCGTTTCCGTACTTGATACCTGAAAGGCCGGAGTGCAAAACCCAAGTCGTTACCGCATTTGACGGCCCGCATAAGGGGTCACAGTTTAAGATCAAGGTTTTTGGTGAAGATATCTGCGGCTGCTCTCATTTGAAATCAACAAAGCTTTTGAGAAAGGTTGATGTCCAAATCACCACCAATGAACTTGTAGTTACCCGGGGATAAGATACCTTAGATATGTTTAGAGACTCTTCATGTATGTTTTACGCCTATATTGATGGCAATGTATATTCTTGACCTTATTGCGAGACAATCATTCTTGACCTTATTGCGAGACAATCACTATTTATAACTGGCTTAGTCAGCTCAAGCCGGCTTCTTAGCCGGAGCCGAAATTAGCCGAGCCATGGGAGTCATCACTCAACAGTTCTGGCTGGGCTTCGGCTAAACTCGGCTCGGCTCCTGGCTTCAGCTGGCTCTGAGCCGGAGCCGCGGCAACACTATTTACGACTTGTAACATTAGCAATGGGTTGGACCAATTCAGTACCAATATTCCATGATGATGTAACATATATTCTACAAGAAGAGATACCAGAAGTAATGGTACCATATATTGATGATGTTGCTTGTAGAGGTCCACCAACTAGATATGAGTTAACTGGAGGAAAATATGAAACTATACCAGAGAATGAGGGCATAAGATGTTTTGTAATGGAACACTTTGAGAATGTTAACAGAGTGGTTCAAAGAATGAAATATGCTGGAGGAACTTTCTTGGGTTTTAAATCCACAATTTGTGCAGCTGAAATTACAGTAGTAGGTCATTTATGCACATATGAAGGAAGAAAACCAGAGACTCAGAGTAAAAGTCATTGATAATTGGGGAAATCTACATGATGTGAGAGCATTTCTCAGAACTGTTGGGGTATGCTGGATGTTTATTGAAAACTTTGCAAAGAAAGCACAGCCTATCAATGACTTCGTCAGAAAAGGTGCTCCTTTCGAATGGGGACCTGCCCAGGAAGAATCCATGGCAGAACTCAAAAAGAGTCTCAGAGAATGTCCTGCATTAGTGCCTTTAGATTATCTTAACAATCCAAATCCAGTTGTATTAGCTGTAGACAGCTCTTGGAAGGCTGTCAGCTTTTACATCTTTCAAGATGACAAAGACACAGGAAAAAGAAATTATGCAAGGTTCGGTTCTATAACCTTGAGTGATAGAGAAGCAAGAATGTCACAATCTAAGAGAGAATTATTTGGTCTACTGAGAGCTCTTGAAGCTGCCTCTTATTGGTTACTTGGCATTCAACACTTAATAGTGGAGACAGATGCAAAGTACCTTGCTGGAATGTTTTGGGTTTACCCATCAAAATGAGCCTAAGAACATCGAAATCAAAGTGGACAATATAAAATTTTGTAGTCTCGAAAAGTGAACACTATGAATATTTGTAGTCTCAAAAGTGGACACTACAAACATGTGTAGTCTCAAGAAATGACATTCAGCATGTTAAATACATATCCGGATGTTTTTTCGGTTGCATTTTTGGGCCAGTGACATTTACCAAGTCAACTACAACTCCAGACATTTTTTTGGCCGCATTTTAGGGGCAGTGACGTTCAGCATGTTAAGTACAAACCCAGATGTTTTTCTGCCACATTTTCAGGTACTTGAAGTACTAATTCACTTGATGCAGTGGGGTTTTCTGGTCTGTGTCAAAATTACATCTGAAATTTTGGACATTGGTGCAGTCTACAAAGTACAACATGGACAATTGTCCTATGGGTCATAGGACTAGCCAAATGGGCCCAATGAGCAACTAGACTATGGTGCTGTAGATTGGCCCAAAGGTGTAAAAACACCTAATGTTTATCATTGGGCCAAATGACCCCAGATGTCTTAGGCAAAAATGGATGGTGAATTTATGAGAGGGAGTTCCGAAATACATTATCCCAGGGCATATGTCCCATGAACATGTGAAATATCCGGAGCATTAGTTTCAATATACAGAGGACATCCAAAAAGCACTCGCATAAATGTTTTGGGGAAATGTGAAATGTCTGGACCAATAACTCAATTATCTATGGAACACCGGAAGAACAACCCTGGTGGTGATATAAGTGTCCCAAAAAAAATGCGAAATGTCTGGAGCATTAGTTTCAATATACAAAGGACATCCAAAAAGCACTCATATAAATATTTTGGGGAAATGCGAAATGTCTGGACCAATAACCCGATTATCTACGGAACATCAGAAGAACAAGCCTGGTTGTGGTATAAGTGTCCCGAAAAAATGCGAAATGTCCAGACCAATAACTCAATTATCTATGGAACACCAGAAGAACAACCCTGGTGGTGGTATAAGTGTCCCAAAAAAAAATGCGAAATGTCCGGAGCATTAGTTTCAATATACAAAGGACATCCAAAAAGCACTCATATAAATGTTTTGGGGAAATGCGAAATGTCCGGACCAATAACTCGATTATCTACGGAACACCAGAAGAACACCCTGGTAGTGGTATAAGTGTCCCGAAAAAAATGCGAAATGTCCGGAGCATTAGTTTCAATATACAGAGGACATCCAAAAAGCACTCGCATAAATGTTTTGGGGAAATGCAAAATGTCTGGACCAATAACTCGATTATCTATAGAACATCGGGGGGGCAAGCCTGGTCATGGTATAAGTGTCCCGAAAAAAATGCGAAATGTCTGGAGCATTATCTATACGAGGACATCCAGAAAGCACTCACATAAATGTTTTGGAGAAATTTGAAATGTCTGGACCAATAACCCGATTATCTACGGAACATCAGAAGAACAAGCCTGGTTGTGGTATAAGTGTCCCGAAAAAATGCGAAATGTCCAGACCAATAACTCAATTATCTATGGAACACCAGAAGAACAACCCTGGTGGTGGTATAAGTGTCCCAAAAAAAAATGCGAAATGTCCGGAGCATTAGTTTCAATATACAGAGGACATCCAAAAAGCACTCATATAAATGTTTTGGGGAAATGGGAAATGACCAGACCAATAACTTGATTATCTACGGAACACCAGAAGAACACCACTGGTAGTGGTATAAGTGTCCTGAAAAAAATGCGAAATGTCCGGAGCATTAGTTTCAATATACAGAGGACATCCAAAAAGCATCCGCATAAATGTTTTGGGGAAATGCAAAATGTCTGGACCAATAACTTGATTATCTA